GGCATAAATGGAAAAATAATTGTTTCCATTTACAATAATTCCATTAATATTTACATAGGAAAAATTTCCATTGATTTTCAATGGGAACCAATGCAAAATTTATAAATTCTATTTAAAACCATTAAATGGAAAAACAATTGGGTACCTAAAAATGGAGAACATCTGGTTTGAGATGACTAAATTTATTAAAAAAATGGAGAGAAACGTGCTGATTGTCACAGCAAGTCGTAAAATTAATAAACAAGACATTATTTGGAATAATAATTGTCATGTAATTAATATTTTCCTCATATTTCATCTTGATTAAAAAGAATTTCATTTAATTACCCCTAACAATAATTAAAAGTAAAAAATAAAGAATTGACAATAGGATTTCCATTGGGTTCAGAAATGGAAGTTCGTATGGAACACAAGGGAAATCCCATTGCGTTCAGCAGTGGAAGTCCCATTGAGTTCGAGGATTCTAGTGGAAATTCCATTCATCCCATTGGCAATTCTCCATTTATTACCATTAATTATTATCAGTGGTAATTAAATGGCATTTTTTAATGGAAATAGAATGGAAATTTTTCCTACGGGAAAGAGTATGAAATCAGAAGGAGTTGTGGAAATCAATAAGAAATAGATGAGATAAGTTGGTAGGACTGCTTCTCATGCACGCAGGGCTAGTTAGGGACATTTTACAAGCACAAACAGGAGTTTAGAGGAATAGAGGTAGACCTAGATTAGGTTACTGTTCACAAATAGCTAAAGATGTGGGGTGTTCTAGTTTTAGGGAAATGCGAAGATTAGTCTAGGATAGGAAGGAGTGGAGATGCGTGTCTAAACAGTCTTAGGACTGATGACCTTATTATGATGATGTTGATGACTGTAGAGGTTAATAATCGTTCCGTGGAGCTAATTATCGTTCCGAAGAGTAGAAAGCACGGTAGGTAATCGCTCTTCTGTTTTCAACAACTTGGATCATTACGCTTGGATTCATTCGAAAATCGGTTCAAGATTTTCAAAAGAGTTTCAAACAGTCATCAATAAGTAAACTAAGGAAAGTCTTTTTATACTTACGTGCACAGTAAAAGTAACTCGAACGAATCATCCTTCAACGGTCGCAGTGGTTGAAAAGTGATGCGAGTCATAAATATCCTTCTTTCGAACTCCATAATGCGAATGTCAAGAACACCACTTTGTATCTTTCCGATCCGCGGCTAGACAATAATGCTCGTGCGCGGGTTCCTCGAACCCTCGCCGAGGGGCTGGTTCATTTAATCTGTAACGGGGAATGCGATACAATTGCGCTACTCTTTTCCACACAGATACAGGCGGTAGAAAATGAAATATCTAGTGGAACTCTTCAGTTTTTACGTCAATGTGGAATTGTATACGCGACAGAAATATTTACCGTTAATCTACTAATTATACTCTGCTCTTTAGTCTAAGCCAACCGATAGTAGAACTCTGATCTGAATGTGTTTCAGCCAAATCATAATGCACTACTTTTTTTTTGAGAGGTTCCACGCCTCATAATAAAAACCGAAGTAATCCGACTGTCATCTAACTAGCAGATGATACAAACTTCTAAGGTACCTCCTGTTGACCTTTTGATAATTCAGAAATTTTTCATGAGCAAAAGAAAACCCATAAATCAATTCTTTTACGTTCGTTCCATGAAAATGTTAGACAATATGAACCAACAACATTGGTCGTAGTCTAGCAATACGAAGACTAAAACCGAACGAACAAGACCACAAGACCAAATACGTAAGACTAAACGAAATATTATTACTTCAGATTGATTTATGAGTTAAACTATTTGAAGAACTTTAATACAGTGCAAACTTTATATAACGACACTTAAGGGACTGAACACTTTTCGGCGTTATAAAGGGTGGTCGTTAAATGGGGAGAAATAAAAAATATTATTTTACTATTCTATAATAATATGCATTTACCAATATAGTACACATTTTGCACACGAACATTATTATTCATGCATTGCGTATAGCCTGTTATCTTCGTCTGATGTTTTTTGCTGCTCCAATATTTTAATTGTATTTTGTTACGTATCTTACTCATATCTTGAGATACTGCTGGATCAATTTGATTATATAAAAAGTATTTTTTTAATAGTTTCGCTGCATCAAGTGCATGTTTGATGCTTGGTGGAGGGACAGGATCGTCTTCTTCAACAACGTACACAGCTGCAGTTCTTATCTATTTCGGCAACTTAGAAAGTACTGCTCAATGATTTATAATGCCGCATTGTTGTCGTTAAATAGAGTGAACGTGACGCTATATAGAGTGTAATATTGTATAGAAAACAATGTAAACCAACCAAAGTCAAGCAATTTCGACGTTTTAAGGAGTTTGTCGTTAAATCGAGTGACGTTATAAAGGGTTTACAATGTATATTTTTTTCTTGGAACAAATTTTTTTTTTTTGAATTTAAAATTTTTAGTTTTCTTTACTGGATTTTAACACCAATTCGTGTCGCTTTCGCCTGGTCTACAATAGCTGTACACACCTATTACTTATAAAAGCATTCGGCAATAAAATAGGAAAAGATTCTTGTCGAATTATAGTTTTTAACATTAATTTTAGTTTCTGAATTATATTTAGTTCCCGTTTGTAACACGTTACTTAAATAACTTTCACATAAGTGAGAATTACTTTGTTAATGGTGTATTAAGTGCATTTAATCGATTCAGCCCATCGAGCTAACCGTTGTATCGTCAATAGCAAGAGATATTTCGTGAAAATTTCGCGGTTTACCTTTGTTTTTTAATGGTCCATTGTTCGTTTATAAAACCGTCGCTATCGTGCTCTTAATAAAATTTTTCTTTTTAACTCAGTAGTCGCGGCTACAATCATGCCGCGTTTGAAATTACCTGAACATCAAAGCTAAATTTCCATGGAGCTTATAAAAACTTCAGTCGTTTCAAATTCGGAATGGCATGTCTAACTATGTTGGCACTTTTTGCTCAAAATAGTCCTTTGTGTGCGAAATTAATAAACAAGACATTATTTGGAATAATAATTGTCATGTAATTAATATTTTTCTCATATTTCAAGTTGATTAAAAAGAATTTCATATAATTACCACTAGCAATAATTAAATTGATCTGTTGACATTTTTCAATATTTCCAAGTGGATGATGCCGTAACAGTTTCCTAATAAACACTAAATGTAATTCGTTACCTTATATGCTATGTGTACTGTCTCGTCCCTGAAATCAAAAATATTGTACTTCCGAAGCTGGAGTATACTAAAAAATTGTATACAGATTTAGGTATGATAGTAGAGCACCCACTCTAGGGNGAAATGTATTATTGTACAGCAGCTGTCCACGCGGACGCATCGCTCACTCAAGTAGGAGAGAGACAGATGTCGAACGCTGCCGAACGCGGAGGCCGATTGTGCCTCTTTATCGCTCGTTCCGCGCTCTCGCTTGCACTTCAAGCCTTAAATGGAACGCCTCAGAGCTAGGTAACGCCGCATGAGTCATGGTTTTTCGTGCGTGCAGCCAGCTCCATCGAATTATAAGACGTTTTCACGTCAAAAACTAACGCCAAAATTATTGTCGATTAAACAAATCAATTACTAGAAAACATCGCGACAAATTACATTTAAAACATTACAGGTAGTGTTAGCAATACACTTAATAAATGGCATTGCAAAGATTGCAATGGTATTTTATTTGTATGTATAGGTCAGTGCGAGAAAGCCACAAAACATAAAATTTCCAGCAGTAAGGGTGAAAAATGGGATGGGGTGACAGAAAAAGAGATTACGCTATCTCTTCATTTCCGTTTGATCTTTCTTATTCTCCATTTAGTGAGACTGAACTTTACTTACAGACGAATAATGAGGATACCGTGGATAGAGAAGGTTAGAAATTAACACATATTGGAAAGGTTGATAGGACACCTTCTCAGGCATGAAGGTCTAGTCAGAGACATATTAGAGGCAGAAGCGGGAGTTAGGTGGGGTAGAGGTAGACCTAGATTAAATTACTGATCGTAAATAGTTAAGGAGGTGAGGTGTTCTAGTTTTAGGAAAATGCGAAGATTATTAGTTCAGGGTAGGAAAGAGTGAAGCTGCGCGTCCAACCACTCTTAGTTCTCCTTTATTTAATTTGATTAGGTTCAGCTTGGTTTGATTACGTTTGGTTACACTTCGGTGTCCCGTGAACTTTAAAAACGGCGCTTTGGTAAAAGCAATACCAGAAACGATTAGTATCAATTGAAAATTACAAAAGTGATCAAAACAGAAGGAGGAGACTGTGGTAAATATTAATTAAAAAATTAAAAGGAATGCTCACCCCTAATTACCACAAATAATTTTCTCGCGTTGATAATGCCCACGTGTGAAGTGGGCGAAACACGTGTCCGCTCATATGAAATTATTTGTGGTAATTAGGGGTGAGTATTCTTTTTAATTTTTTAATTAAATACAAAAGTGTTCTTTTTTCAATTTGTTTCTTATTCTTTATTGGTACAAAACATACCTTTTAACATATTTTTAGTGTCAATATTATTGTTCCGTGGATTTTTCTTACGTATCTATATTTAGTAACCATTCTCTCGAGGTTTTCCTAGGAATTTGAAATATTCAACATTCTCTTACACAATTACGTTAAGCGCAATCTCTTAATTTGTAATTGAAGGAATTCTCTTGATCTGATCTCGTAGAATCAATACTTGGCGATGGCAATTGAATTTAACACGATTGGTACATTCTACCGAGACAGTGGTTGGTTGAATTGCTTTGCCACTTCAAACCAAGCAACCCTTCTTATTGATTTGCTACTTAAGCCTACTTATTATAGGGGTAGCAAGCGTTTGAAAACAGATTAACCGAAAACGAAATTTCAGTTTTCGATTTAATTTAAATTTCACTGAGACAAGAACGATGAGTGTCATAACAAACGCACCCTTGGTAAAATTTCGTATGAATATAAACATTGGTTAACATAACATTTATTACTAATTGTATTTTGTTACAGATTACAACAATTTCTGGAAACGTAGAACCAGGTGAGTGTCTTTTATATATGTACTAGGTTTTACTCGCGGCTTAATTATAATTAATTATAATTTTCTACAATAGTTTGTGAATTATTAAATTTTCTAATCTAATTGTCTATTATCGTACTAACCCTGCAGAGACAGCGCTCCATAACAACGAATGTTGATAAACAAAACGGTGTCAACCTATTCCGACTTAATTCTATTTTCCCTTTTTGGAACAGCTAAGCCTAATGTACAATATCACTAGTATGTACAGGCAGAGGGATAGGAAACAAATACGGGATTAGGTGGGTTGGCGGGGGTCGCCAGTAATAAGGGTGGAAATGGTCGGAGTGTGTCGCGTCACTCACATTAAGTCCTACATACACTGCCTTGTGCTGTATCAGCATTTATAACATCATCAACGAACAGAAGTGTAGGATTTTCGTCATTAGGCATGATTTGTTACAGCCAATTGTGCATCGTTAAGGATACTTGATCATTTGCAGAAACTGCATTACAATGTGCATATGTATCTGATATCTGTTTGCCGTGTTTCCACGAGCAGTATTTTCTCAGAATGTTTTTGGATGAATGACCAAGTGAATAAAATTCCAGTGTAAAACAAAACTATGTACACACTTTATTTACAACACTTAAACATATTCAGAACATGAAAACAATATAAAAACGGAAGACAAAATTAGTGACAAAAAATAGATCTGGTTAAGCTGAACGACAAAACTTTGAACTGAACTCAACTACTACAAAAATGGAATAATATCAAACCTATAAATCTACCACCACCAGTACCTGCGAAAACAAAGCTATAGAAAAGTATAGGAAAAGACCCAAAAATACATAGATATCATTACAGCGTAGTGCAATTAAATAAGGGTAGCTGACCGACGAAGCCTTCGTACAATTTATCTATTGGGACCAAATGTTTTGAGAGGCCCCAACAGGGTGATATTTGTAATAATGTACATTCATACACTATAGCAGCCAATGCAGTAACTTATATAAATATTAAAAATTACACCATGCTTAATATTGCATACTTATCCCTAATCCTAATAAATACAACTGAAATTACACTGTAACAATATCAACGGTTTAGTTTATGTAGTATGTCCTAAAGTTCGTATCACATCGAAATTAATAAAAAGCAGTGTTATGCGTTATGTGTTGAGACATATTAGAAGCAGAAACAGGAGTTAAGAGAACCAGAGGTAGCCCTAGATTAGATTACTTTTCAGAAATAGTGAAATATGTGGGATGTTGTAGGTTTAGGGAAATGCGAAGATTAGCTCAGGATAGGAAAGAGTTGAGGTTCGTATCCAACCAGTCTTAGAACTAACGAGTAACGACCTTATGATGATGAGTGTTATGTTTTTGATATTTAGATATTTTAAACCTTCAGTTGTAACCCCCCCCTTTCAATGCCAAATTCAGTTAAACTCTAAACTTAATGTTTTTAAAAAGAAAAAAGGGAAAACTTTCGTTGCTGTTGTTTCTAGAAGTTGTAACACTGAGCACATTACCTAGTTCGTGTTCTTTCTGCAGGAACAATTTCGTTCAACGACTTAAAACCTTAAGTTCTTCTGTTAATCAGTAGTTAATTGTACATGTAAAGAAGATTACAGGATTCGGTTCTTTTGTTGATTAAATTTTCTTAAAAGCAAACTAACTCAATGTTTTTACCTTTTGTACTTACTACAATGTCCTTCGTAAAGGATTAAATTTGACATGCCTTACGGTTAATCTTATAAACAATCGTTTTAATACTGAAAATATGAAATTCATGAAGATACACAAACCTTATAAGCAATTATTAGCTATTTAAAATAATTCTAATTAAAAATTTTGGTGGAGGCGCCGGGACAATCTAAAACATAAAGCTATAATTTAGCTATAATTATAATTTAATTGCAGTAGATTGGTAAATTTTCATCTTTAATTTATATTTATTTCATGTAAACACAATTAGGGATGCTACTGTTTTTGTTTTTTTACAATTAAACTACAATTTGTAATACATTATATGTATAGACAGCCCAACATACAGCAAATTATACAGCGCTGATAATGTAACTATAAAGAAATTTTTTTCTCATGGAAATATCTTTTCCAGGTAAAATTATTCCATTGGTCGCGAATAAACCACGAAATATTACATACATAGGAACAATTAATTGATTAGTAGATAATATTCTTGTATTTGATTGAAAACCCATTTAAATTTTTTAATATGAAATTACTTAATATAGTAGTATTTAGTTACTAATTACGATTGTTTAGTTAATTTTTATTGTAAACTGTTACTGAAATGCCAAAAACAAACCGTTCATGAAAATACACAAACGTTACAAAAATACATAATTTTGAATTGTTTTGTAGGAATTAATAATTTTCCACTGCTTTTTGTCTTTTTCCCAAAAAACTGTCAGGAAATTATTAAAATCAAATAAGAATTACATGGATTTCGGTTAATCCTTGTTGGCACAGAAGTAGTACAATGCAAAAATTTCGAAATCCTTAACAATATCAAGCTAACAGACAAGGTAGGCTGGTATGACACTGGCTATAGTCCTGGGGGAAACTAATTTAATGATCCACCTATCGTAATAATGATTGAGGTGGTGGATAATAATTCATTAATACTAGAACAATGATTTACTCTTGTCATGGGCGCAATTATCCTCATCTAAGTCCATCAGATAAATCAAAATTGGTAGATATGAAAAATGAACTATGCCCTTTTTATTAAAGGCTTTTCTAACTATCTCTGGCTCCATTTAATAAAATTTTGACAGTACAAGCAAATGAACAACTTGTTGAACTTTCGGATGTTTTACCAAAGCGATATTTTGTGTGTCAAAAACAAATGTGAACGGTCTGCTTTTACTGGGTGACATCAAAGTAATGCCAAAACGGTTTTATCGGGGAACTGTTGAAAAGTTTGATCGGAAATAGGTGAAAATTACAAGTTTCAAACGAGCAGTTTCATTATTTGGATATTACCTGAAGCTTGTGTACCTATGCAAGTATACAACGTACCCATTTCCAATAAATAACCATCGCTAGTCTGTTTTCAATCGCTGATTAACTTCAAGTTGTTGATATGCAAAAAACACCCGATAGACATGAGCGTTAATTGAAGCCATTAAAAGAAACTGAAATTGAAAATTGAATGGATTAAATTAAATGGTATTTATATTACACTAACACAAGAGAATTCGCAAATTTCAATGAAATATTCCAGATTTGTAACGTATTTGTAGTGATTATTCCTTTTAGAAATACGTATAATTGCTTGCAAAAGTTTAAATAACAAACTTTAAAAGCTTCAAGTCTAAAGAACTTAATCGATTACTGATGCAGCTATATTTAATGACTCATTATTAGTGAAGATAAATCAATAAGTGTAGTTTGTTAATTAAAATTTTATGATTTATTATAAAAACCCTTGGCATGTTACTTAATTTGTCTCTTAATGATACATCTTGACATTACTTATAAAAGCAAAGACTTTTGGAGTATTTCAAATATTTTGAGCTTCAGCTTATACCAATTTAGATCATTACTTTTCCTATTTGATCTACAAATACTTCAGTTATTTCATGTGTACACCTGGACGAAAGAAAAGGCAACAATTTTGTTTACTACATTATTTAAAGATTTCTTATTTGTGATAAATCTGTATTTCAAACTGCAAATTGTCACGTTAAGGTCAGGTCGTCGCATATGTTTGTATGAATACATAACAAGGTACAAAAATTGCCTTTTTCTGATATTTTTGGACCGTTTGTTAAGATTAACGTATCCAAACATCTTATAAAAGAAAGAAGCTTGTAGTTATAGGGCGGTCATTTTGCAATAAATTCATATCTCTCGGAGTTTTTCTCTCTAACGCTAACCAAACAACAAAAGCCTTGTTCTACTGATAAATCATTTTTAGCAGGGGCTTTGTTTGTTCTTCAAATTGTTGTATTCGTTATTAGAGCTTTATGTCGGTTACACTCACATGTGTGCTAGAATTTGAAAAGGATTTTTTGAATTTTTTTTTATAATCCATATGATAATTCATGAAAATTTTAGACAGTTAATGACATTACCCTTTCATTTACTTTTATTTAACACGTTCTAATAAAATGTAACATAAGATGCAGTATTCGCCTTCTATACACAACCTTTTTTACCAGAATCTGAAATGTGTCAAATAAAGCGAATAATAAAATTAAATTAACGTAAAATTTCAACATCAATCTGTTATTAAGCAATAGAAGAATAAAATTAAGGTAATAAGTTTGGGCTTCCTTGAAGGATTAACTTTCGTTGTTCGTCATTGAACATACATATAAAGCTTTATCGAATAGAATGCCAAAGAAACAAATTAACAGTCGAATGAAACTGTACAACAAGCAACGAGAAAAGCAATTAAGTTGAACATAGAACTAATGGCATTGTCAAACACACTATCGAAGTATCATTTTGTTCGCAAAAGCGAGCCCAATTTCGGCTATTTATTGTGTATTTTGTTGTCACTTTTGACCGTTTTGTTATAAACTTACCCGCCTGCCATTTGTGTTTTCATCAGCCTTTTTATTTTGAAATCCCCTATAGAATTCAAATGTAACTTTAGTATTTCGTTTAGATGTAGATATACTTGTGTAAAGAAATAAATTCGAATGTAGACCTCAAAAACACAATTTTTATGATTTACTAAAACTATTCTCAATTAAAAGAACTCGAGGTTGGAAAAAAAAGGAACTTTGAATTTTGTCCTTCAGTCGAACAATGTTAATAAAATTATTAGGATTAGATAGAATTAAACTAACTACGTATTAGTTATTATTTCGTAACTGGGCCACCCAAAAAGTGTTGTTTTGCATCTAATTTTTGTATAAAAGTGCAATGAAACATACAATCGATTTATTTATTGTTATGAAGTACAAGTGGCCGTAGAAGACAAGCGAAGTTGCCGATTTATGTCAATTTTATTTGAGTTTTCTTATTTGAAAAGTAAATACTCTGGCTAGACAATAATAACCATTTGTTTATACGTATTGTGTTTATAGTCAAAATGAATATTTCCCCACTTACAGTTAAAAATGCGCATAAAATTTTTGTTAAGCCGTTTTTCAAATCGACATTGAGATATTACGATTCGACCCGCAAAAACTTATGGATTAACGAAAACACTAAGGTTTTAGTTCAAGGATTTACTGGAAAACAAGGAACTTTTCATGCTCAAAAATCAATCGAATACGGATCTAAAGTGATTGGCGGTATCAATCCAAAAAAGGCTGGCCAGAAACACTTAAATTTACCAGTTTTTAAGGTACAAAATCTCCTGAATTTAGAAAATTAGACCAGACCAGTAATCAAAGAAAAGCAACCGTTAGTCTACACTTACAACATTTTTAGGACTGCAAAGATGCTAAGAAAGCTACAAATTGCGATGCGACTGTCATCTTTGTACCACCACCTGCGGCGGCCGCAGCAATTCATGACGCAATGGACGCGGAAATAGGCATGATCGTTTGCATCACGGAAGGAATTCCCCAACATGATATGGTCAAAGTCAAGCACAGACTGTTACGTCAAAACAAATCCAGATTAATAGGACCAAATTGTCCAGGTTGTTTTCCTTTTTAAAACACACTCTACCATATGCACGCCACATGTGATTAGGGCTAGAAACGAGAGCGACCACACGCTGAGAACAGCATACGAATTGTGTGCTGTTCAAAGCTTCGAAGTATGCAGTTATGCCAATAAAATTCTGGCATATCTACATCCTTTGTAGTTTTATTCCGATAACATTGGCTTTTGATAATGTTGACGGAGCGCAAGATGTTAAAATGTTGGGATGAAATACAGAAATAGAAGAGTGATATATATAGTTTGTATAAAGAGCAGCAACGTAGAGAAGTAATATTAGGAAGAGAGTCACGGTGCAGTTACTTTTTAATCTATATATCGAAAATGTCGTAAACGTCATTAAAGACAGGACAAACTTAGGGATAGATATACAGGGGCAAAAGGTTATTATGTTTAGATTAGTAAATGACATATAGCAGCATTAGAATCCGGTAAACACGAGTTAAAGATAGCCTTAAATAAAAACGAAGCGATATTAAAAAAAATGTACTATTCGCATGAAAATAAATTAATATTGCTATGGAAAAGAGGATAAATTAGAGAAAGATAGGAGACGAAATATTAGAAGAAGTCCCTGATTTTAGGTATCTAGGAAGTGAGATAAGTCAGGACGGAAAGAGTAGTAGGGATATAAAGCAGAAGATTATTCAGGTCGATTCACCTTTAATAAAAAGAAGTAATTTCTGTGCTCGCGAACGGTTAATTTAGAAATCTGATAGATTGTTAAAGATGTATGTTTGGAGCGAGGCGCTGTACGGGTGCGAAACATGGACGGTGGGCGCGGCGGAAAAGAAAAAGTTAGAAGCGTTCGAAATGTGGTGTTACAGGCGAACGATGAGGATACCATGGATAGAGAAGGTTAGAAACGAAGAGGTATTAGAAAGAATAGGAGAACAGAGGACTCTATGGGAGTCTACAAGAAATAAGCGAGATAGGTTGGTAGAACACCTTCTCAGACATGAAGGTCTAGTCAGAGAATTATTAGAAGCAACAGCTGCATTTAAGAGAAGTAAAGACAGACCTGTTCACAAGTAGTTAAGGATATGAGATGTTCTAGTTTTAGGGACACGCGAGTATTAGGTCAGAATAGGAAAGAGTGGGAGTGCACGTCCAATCAGTCTTGAAACCGACGACCCTATGATGATGATGAAGGTAATAAAAATTGGCTTCTTGTGATCAATTACGAATTACAGAATTCATCATTAGCTGAAGCAATATCGGCAATTTTTTACTTTTACGGTTTCGATCTCTGTTATAATTTTTACATTAAAAATTTACCAAACGTTTAACAAGACGGAAAATAATAAACTGTGCTCGTATATTCAGGTTTGATAGCATCAGAAAAGTGCAGAATGGGAATTCAGCCAACATTCATCCACAAAAAGGGCTCTGTCGGTGTAGTTTCACGCTCAGGAACGTTGACATACGAAGCGGTGGACCAGACCACTAAAGCTGGTTTAGGACAAACTCTTGTGTGTGGAATTGGCGGTGATCCTTTTAACGGAACGAACTTCATCGATTGTCTCGATATTTTCTTGAATGATCCTAATACCAAAGGCATAATTATGATAGGAGAAATAGGAGGCGAAGCAGAAGAAAATGCCGCGGATTTTTTGAAAAAGAACAATACTGGATCGAAGGCCAAACCAGTTGTCAGTTTTATAGCGGGAAAATCGGCACCACCGGGACGTCGTATGGGTCACGCTGGTGCCATCATTTCCGGTGGAAAGGGAAAGGCTGCCGACAAGGTACGGGCTTTGGAAGCAGTCGGCGTAACAGTAGTTGATACTCCGGCAATGATGGGAAAAGCTCTGAAAGAAAAAATGAAATAGAGGAATATGTATTTTTATATTTTTTACGTAATATTTGTACACCAATAGAAAAATCATTAATGTTCTTAATAAAATTAAACTATTTAAACTCGAATGGATTATTAAGGGAACTGACCAGGGGCGCAACAACGTTACAGTTTGACTGGGTGCTCCCATCATTAAAAAAAAAAAAAAAACTTTTGGGTGTTTCATTCCCACCAGCCTGTAATGCTGGTGGGCGGGCAGCCCCTCCGGACTACGCCGGAAGGTAGGGCGGAAGGCCCTCTTCAGCCTGCTTTCAGGAATCGTGGGAATGGGTGGGTGGTGGTGGTTCGGGCGAGAAAGATGAGACGGACGAAATGAAGACAGAAGAGAGTGAAAGATTATCTGTGGAATATTACTAAGGCAGACGGACCCGGAATCGAACCGGCGTCCTCCCGAATGCTAAGCAATGGTCTAGACCTCTAGGCCATGCCGCTCGGTTCCCATCATTATACCATAAATATTTATATACTGCGGTGTGCATAAGCTGAAAAGATCAAGTTTGGCTGCTCATTTACGAGCTATTGAACTATTTGAACCGAACTTTCAAGTTGGGTTATTATCTGAATCGACTGGAATTGACTGGGTACCCAACCCAATCGAGTGGGTGCTCAGGCACCCGTGGAGCCCCCTTGTTGCGCTCCTGGAACTGAGGCTGGTTGTTGGTATGTTTGCCCCTAAAGAAAGGGATATAGGAGTGATAAACTCGTATATTGAAAATGATTTACCTGATCAATCTTTAAAAGGCAGATAATCGCAAGTTCTAGTTGTTTTGAGAAACTTAATGTAAACTCGTTAAACTTTGTCCAAACTTTAACGAAGTTCTGGATTGCTAGTTCTGATTTCAAACTTTTTGCTTAGATAAAATTTATTGGAAAACTTTAGTCCTTTCTTTTCATTGATTATAAAAAGCAAATGAAACTATTTCCGATGGTTTTTCATTTATACGACTACACATTACTAATTGAATTCGACATTAATCTGATTGTGAAACAAATTACTTTTGGATGATCCATCTTGCTAATTACATATCGCAGTTAAGTATATGATGAAAGTTCTACTATTATACATACATACGTACAAACCTATCAGGAAATTATTTCATAAAATAATGTTTAATAAATACTAGTTCTTCCTCCCTATGAGCACCATTGCTTCGAGTGGTCGAAATTCACTTTTGTGAACAATTTGTTTAATCACTTGCTTTATTTGTATTAAAAATTTGCTTAAAAAAATTAATTTAAAGGAATTGTTTGTAAATAGATATGCAACACATCGTACACTTCAGCATAAGAAATTGCTGATACTAACTACGTAATACTACTTTCCCTCATAATTTCTTTTGTATGTAACATTGAATAATTTGCAAAAAAAAGCTAAATTTCTCTACATAATGATTGCCTTGATCGATTTTTAGTATAGAACCTACTCTTGTCTTATTGTTGTCTTAAAGATCAAGACGAGGATCCTTGAAAATTATCTTTGTAATTGAAATAAAATAGAAGAATTACAATTTCTGTGCTGAAGTAAAATATAAACCTGTTTGTCAACTTACAAAATCAATCAACTGCAATATCTGATGCTTGTGTCAGTACGTAATAATTTAAGTCAATGCGAACTACGGTTCAAAGGAATTGTCTAGATTGAAAGAGATCTATAAAAGTCATTGACACAAAGCGCGATGTGCGATCTTTGTATCAAATGTGAACTTGTTTTTGACGTGCTGATGTTGAACGCTAAGCAAAATGAAAGGATTTTAAACTTTTCCGGCGTTTCATCTTGTAATGATCACACGATATCATATCTATTATGTTCAATAGCAAAATATTCTATCTGTAGGTACGTATGTTTATTAAAAACAAATAGACTTGCAATTGCAAACTCTTTCCTAAATGTTTCGGATAGTAAAGGTCATTCAATTAAAAACATTATGACGAGCGATAAATGACATTTCCTTTATTTAAAAGTGTGCTTAAGGGTCTTCAGCCCTAAGACTTGTTGGACACACACCTACACTCTTTCCTATCCTGACCTAAACTTCGCATTTCCCTAAAACTAGAACAACCCACATCCTTAACTATTTGCGAACAATAATCTAATCTAGGTCTACATCCACTCCTCTTAACTCCTGTTTCTGCCTTTAATATGTCTCTGACTAGACCTTCATGCCTGGAAAAGTGTTCTACCAACCTATTTCGCCAATTTTTGTTATTGACTTCTCCTATTCGTTATAATACCTTCTCTATCCACGATATCCTCACCATTCACCTGCAACCACACTTCCAACGCTTCTAACCTTCTTCGATAAAAGTATTCATCAAAATTCTTCTTCCCCTGATAGTTCTTCCGCCATTTTCCGTCCTCTGCACTCAATTCTAGTTAATATTTTTGACACATGGCCCTTTACCTTTACTTACTTTTATAGTACTTTGCTTTACTTTACCTACGAATAAAAAATATAATCATATCCTAGTTTAATGATTTAATCCTGATCGTAAATTATTTTCCTAAAAAGATATAAGTGGTGTTCGTTTTTGTTCTGGTTTTGCATCTTAATTTTCACGGGTCATTGTAATACATCGATTGAATCGAAGACGTTAGATTGATTTTGAGCACTCGCTACATTTAGTGTGTCAGGTTATTTAAACGTAATCCTGGTAAAGTTTTTTTGTTTACTTATTTATGTAGTGAGTAATTTCTGGAAGTATTGAACGGATTCTCAAAATTCTTCCAGTCAAATAATATATGCGTTAAAATAATATTTGAATAATTTGCCTGATCGAAAGATATTTGCCTAAGCAAATGTTATTTGAGTGAAATAACCGTCCTGGCGACAGACACATGCTCTATTAATTCTCTTACAATCCTAAACAAGTCAAGATAGTGATTATTTTTATTGGCATTGTCCTTACAAAGAAATTGTTTATTTCGTGTAAAAATTTATCTAATAGTTGTGCATATCAATTAGATTTGGACGAGCACATATTCTTCGTTTATATATGACATAAAACTGCTAGTATATTATGAAACTCGCAAAACCCTCCAATCTGCTCAAGAAAGTTTGTACAAAGTGGCGTTGCAGAACCCTCCGGAGTTTCAGTCTTTCTTTTGTCGTGGCATGAAAGACGACAGCCAATTAAACAGTCAGTTCACGCTGGGTGAACTGTGCTTAATTTAGTAGCCGATGGAAACTCAAAGGAGTACGTGCGATGTCACCTAATCCGCAAGTAAATATTTGATGATCACCCTTCCACACGCTACCCTGACTGAGACTTGGTTTGTTATCGCAAGCTACCGTGCGCCACCAGTCAATTTAGTCTCGATTTCGTTTGCACTGGTCATTTCTAATAATCGTCAGGAAAACATGAACTTTTCATCAGTATTTCATTATTAATCCAGATAATGTTAATTCGGCAGGGATGTCCCGAAGCCGACCTACATTCTACACTATTTCGTTCGATTTAACGACAAACTCCTTAAAACGTCGAAATTGCTTGACTTTGGTTGGTTTACATTGTTTTCTATACAATATTACACTCTATATAGCGTCACACTCACTCTATTTAACGACAACAATGCAGCATTATAAATCATTGAGCAGTACTTTCTAAGTTGCCGAAATAGATAAGAACTGCAGCTGTGTACGTTGTTGAAGAAGACGATCCTGTCCCTCCGCCAAGCATCAAACAAGCACATGATGCAGCGAAACTATTAAAAAAATACTTTTTATATAATCAAATTGATCCAGCAGTATCTCAAGATATGAGTAAGATACGTAACAAAATACAATTAAAATATTGGAGCAGCAAAAAACATCAGACGAAGATAACAGGCTAAACGCAATGTATGAATAATAATGTTCGTGTGCAAAATGTATACTGTATTGGTAAATGCATATTATTATCGAATAGTAAAATAATATCTTTTATTTCTCTCCATTTAACAACCACTCTTTATAACGCTGAAAAATGTTCAGTCCCGTAAGTGTCGTTATATAGAGTTTACACTGTATTTACTATCCTGACGAAGTTCGCTTCAAATCATGTAGTTAACTATGGCTTTTTATAAGAAGTAACTCAAAGACGATCAAATTTTTACCATCATTGGTAATATACAGGGTGTCTCACCTAGGGCGGTTTGGTCCTTAACTCTATTATTATACTTTTAGTACAAATAATATTCTCAAGAGAGTTATTCGACTTAAAAGATTGTCGAAAGTAGGTTTCGATATGTACGGCTCTGAATAACGTAAACATTTTTCCAATAGCGAAAAGGTTAGGGTAATTTTTGCTTAAAGCGACCGTCCAAACCTCAGTTTTTCAACTTTTATGGTTTAGGTGGTATTTGGTCTCATTTAAACAGCTGAAATCTTAATTTTTTTTAAACAGTTGAATATCTCAAAAACTACAAGAGATAGGTGCAGATAACTATTAACAAAATCGACTTTAAATTAAACACAGAAGTCAAAAATGTAAAAATATACAAGGTTTTCAATTAAAAATAACAAAGGCAGCGTCCAGAAGAAATGAAGCACTCTATATGACTGAAAATATTTTCCGAATATACACCATATGATTCTAGACCACTTTTATAAGAACATTTTTTTTGCCAAAAGTATACTAACAGAGTTATGAACTAAACCGCCTTAGGTGGAACACTCCGTATACGTAAATGTAATTTTGTGAAAATGAAAATCGAGACTTTCATACATTCGTATATCTTTTATCTTTAAATATTTTGAAATTCAATAACTTGTCGACAGTTCTGTGTAAAAATACGTATTCGTATAACAACATTCTGAAGTTTCAGAAAATTTGTTTTCCAGTTTACCGGTAGTTTACTGCGAAAGCATAATGGACTTTAAACCAGTTTCCCAACCGAAATTGGTTGGGTGGATTTTCGCTTCGTTTCGCGTCCGATGATGGTTGGCAAACTCGTCATGGCGTGGCGGTATGATGCGTCCGTTGCATTCACATCTACCTCAGACATCAGACGTCGGAAATGAACGTAAAATTACGTCTGGCGCAGTAGTTAATTAAAAACAATTTACCTGTACTGCATTACCACCTGAACACAGCTATCTAATAAATCTTCCCTATCTACAGAAGTAAGAACGGGACGTTGTATAGGCATCAGTTTATCATTTACTTACGTTAAAAGTTCTAAAAATTTTCTTTTGGAAAATTATTGATATTTTTGAAGTGAAACTTCTTTACGCACGGTAGGGTAAGTTCGTTTCATGCGAGTTGCTATGTAACGAAATCATGCAACGCATTTCCCCCGCTGTCTGTCCCTGTGTATGCTCAGATCTTTAAAACTACGCAACGGATTTTGATGCGGGTTTTTTTAATAGATAGAGTAATTCAACAGAGAGGTTTACATGTATAATACATGCATAATATAGTAGAGAAACACTGATAATTTTAGTGGTTTGTAATGTGATGTCGTAAGTAAACACATTTTTTTGCGCTTACATTGCAAACGCTGGTTATACTACAGTATTGTACACTTTAAAAAGGTCTACAAAAAGGTCCGGGATAGTATATGTCTATCTCTTAGGGATAACCCACAATAACCATTTTTTATCGTTTACTTTTTACGAGAAATAATGGCTTATTTACGAAGCGATTTTAAGCAATACAGCATTAATCGTTATCGAATTAAGTACTTTTAAATACATTGTGCATTTAATATAGATCAATATGGCCCTTTACAGCATGTAATTTAAATGAATACTTTCGAATATATTACAGACTTAAAATGCAGGGACATAGCGATTGCGGCGGTACCGGCCGGTTTCTATTATCTAATGACAAAAAAGCTGTGATTGTTTTACATAAAGACATTCTATAGTATATTTACTATCAACATTGCACCCGTGCGAAGCATAGTGTACAAATAATACCATTAAACCAATTCCTTAACCCCTATCCCAGTATGTTTGTGTGTTTGAAGAAGTTTCACTGTGTATAATTACACGTTGTATTTTTTTTTTATTCTATTTCAGTAAAGTCTTAGCCTACCCCATTCACCTAAATTTTATAATTTATGCACTGAACAAATATATCCTCGTCCTGTCTTTGGGCATAGTTGAAAACGGTTCCACTGATCTATAAATTAAGAGGGCGGTTGTCCACGGGGATTATAAACTACCGCATACCAAACTCGTAGATTTTCGCATGTGATATTACCCAAGCGGCAGTTCAACAGTTAAAATGGATAGCGTGCGATTGGAGAACGACGATATTTTAGCAAATTTTAGCTTGTGCTTCATTTTAATAGGATTAAGGTTCGGTTATCTTCGTTATTAATCTAACATATCGACATGTCTTGAACATTGCCGGGCCGCCGCGGTCTCGTATTTTATATTCCGACTTCAAAGCCACAGACGTGACGAGAATATGACACAAAGAAAAATCACCACAAATCCATTCTTTCTTACGAAAGTTGCAGGAATATCAATAGACTTTTAACATTTCTGAAAAGCATGTGGTGAATGGCACTGTGAACTTTTCGTTATGTCGATCTAGTAAGTAAATATTACTTATCATCATCATAAGGTCGTCAGTCCTAAGACTGGTTGGACACGCACCTCCACTCTTTCCTATCCTGAGCTAATCTTCGTATTTCCCCAAAACTAGAACAGCCCACATCCTTTACTATTTGTGAAGAGTGATCTAACTTAGGTCCACCTCTACCCCTCCTAACTCCTGTTTCTGCCTCTAATATGTCTCTGACTAGACCTTCATGCCTGAGAAGGTGTCCTACCAATCTATCTCGCCTATTTCTTCCTGACTTCCATAGTCCTCTGTTCTTCTATTCTTTCTAATACCTCTTCATTTCTAACCTTCTCTATCGACGGTATCCTCATCATTCGCCTGTAACACCACATTTCGAATGCGTCTAACCTTAAGTATTACTTATAAGGGAATATTAATTCTTGGTCAGTATTCTATCGTGGATCATGATTTCAAAACTCCTTACTTTCATAAGCCGATCATTAATAGAAAAAGACCTAGTCAAACTTTAATGAACTAACTGCTAATGTCAAATGTCTAATGCCAGAGGGTTTACATTCTCATTTATTCTACTTGGTGTAATGATCGATTCAAACGCACACGAAGAAATCATTATTTTTTTTAGAATACTTTGGTGAAAACATACTTAAATACCCTTATAATGTAAACACAATGGGCTTCGAACGTTTTCATTATTTTTTCTGAGTAACAAATTTTTCACTAGCATGATGGTAAGATTTTACGTTTTTTTTTTATTTCAGATACGGGAATTTCCACCAGTTGTAATTAAATGTTTATTGGGTAAGTTTATTTTAATATTTCCAACAAACAATAATAAATAATTCGCCTTCCTTCATAAACAAACTATGTCGGTCTTTGTACCCCTAATAATATATACAGAAATTTATGATGATCGATTAAGTAGTTAAGGCGTGAAATCGACCACATTAAACTAATTCTTTCTATCCTTCGGGAACAATTTTTCTCTCGATAAAAGGTACCCTATGTCCTATTCCGTACCCCTGGTAATGTGTCTACAAAATTTTATGATGATCAGGTCAGTAGTCAAGGCGTGAAATGGCGACAGACAGACAAACAAACAATATATAGTTAGGATGTCCGTTGTTCGAATTAAAATGAAAATAAATTTCATTTTGTCTCATGTTGACTTATCTATGTACAATTCTCTTATAAAATGCTACGAGTAGGTACATTTATATAATCTTGTTACGAAGCAACTTCTTTTAATTTCTTTTAACCGTAGGGGCAGAAACTATTAGTAAAAGGTGTATCGCCTACAAACAACGGAAATAGTTTCAAAGTAAAATTTCAACTTCTTTGATCACTTAGAGAGACCCTCTAACGCTTAGTTAAAAAGAAATGACTTTCTGAGTGAAATTAGTAAAGTAAATTCGCTTTTAGCGAAGTTTTTTCAAACTTTGATCCAACTAACAGCAGTTTTCCAAGTTAAACCTTCTAACACGGGAAAGGTTAATTGATAACTTCTAAATATTTTGACTGTCTTGTACCAGTACGAGTCTATCTAATAAAAGTCTGTTTAATGTTTGCACATACGAGGGACACGCCAACAAAACTCAGAAACAACATACTTACAGTGGATTTCGAGTATAACGACGACGACACCCGAACTCAGCATTACATCCGATGTCGCTATAGCCACACGAATTTTGTACTAATATATGCTTTAAATTGGTAGCAAAATTGTCGCTTTAACCAATGTCGTTGTTCGGGTGGGGTTGGCCTTGTAAGGGCTCGTATCAGGCAATATCCTGCTGGTAACTATTACTAGTGCAGAATTACAATATGGACTACGAGGGCGGTTCAATAAGTACCTGTGTTAGAAATGAAGACACCTTTTTTTTAAATTTTTTTTTTAATTCTTCAACATAGTCTCCTTTAGAAAGATACACTTCTCCCAACGACCCTGTCATTTTTTTACCCCTCGAAAAAATAAGATTTGTCGAACTCTTCAAAATCCCCCCTGTCTCGGCGATGACTTCCTCGTTTGAGCTAAATTTTTTTCTCGCTAGTCATTTCTTCATGGTAGGGAACAAGATGAAGTCGCAGGGAGTCAAATCGAGTGAGTACGGGGTGTGCGGCAGCAAATTCA